TTCTGCTGCACCAAGGAACACAAACTTGTAAAACAAAACACAAAAGATTTTGTTTTACATACTGATGATATTATGATACATCATGATATATGGTGATGCTATACTGCATTGGTAATTGAATACAACTTAAAAAAACTCACCATGCCTTTTACTACGTACCTCAGATTGTCTACTTTCAGAAGAGCGGTCATTTGGGTGCTATTTGCACTGTCCTGGCGTTTTTGGGCCTCAAGAAATGAGATAGGCCAAAAGTACATCGGAATGTACTGAATTTTAGATATATACCATAGTTTGTGGACTCTATAACTTTCCTACTAACTAAATAATAAACACTGACATTGGTTATTTTCACCATAAAGATGTAGCAAAATACATTTTGGTCTAAATGTATGTAGAAACGTTTTTTATTTGCAAGATTTTATTACGGAAACAAAGAAAAACAAATTTTTTTCACTTATAGTGCAAAAAATAAAAAACCCAGTGGTGATTATATATCACCAAAGGAAATCTCTATTTGTGTGAAAAAATTATAAAAATTTCATGGGTACAGTGTTGCATGACTGCACTATTGTCATTCAAAGTGCAACAGCACTGAAAGGTGAATTTGGCTTTGGCAGAAAGCGATAAAAGTGCCCGGTAGGCAAGTGGGTAAATTAGCAGTCTAGCTGCAAACATTGAGGTATATGTACTAAAGCCTGTGCACTCAGAATCTGGTGCAGCTGTGCATGGTAGCCAATCTGTTTCTAACTTCAGCTTGTTTAGCTTTATCAATAAAACTTGGAAGCTGATTGTTTTCTGTGCAGAGCTGCACCAGATTCTACACTCTCCAGTTTTAGTAAATAACCAGCATGGCATTTTTAGAATCTGTGTATTGAACATACACTATATTGCCAAAAGTATTGCGACACTTGCCTTTACACGCACATGAACTTTAATTGCATCCCAGTCTTAGTCCGTAGGGTTCAATATTGAGTTGGCCCACCCTTTGCAGCTATAACAGCTTCACCTCTTCTGGGAAGGTTGTCCACAAGGTTTAGGAGTGTGTCTATGGGAATGTTTGACCATTCTTCCAGAAGCACATTTGTGAGGTCAGTCACTGATGTCGGGCGAGAAGGCCTGGCTCGCAGTCTCCGCTCGCATCCCAAAGGTGTTCTATTTCGTTAAGGTCAGGACTCTGTGCAGGCCAGTCAATTCCTCCACCCCAAACTCACTCATCCATGTCTTTATGGAAGTTGCTTTGTGCACTGGTGCGCAGTCATGTTGGAACAGGAAGGGGCCATCCCCAAACTGTAACCACTAAGTTGGGAGCATGAAACTGTCCAAAATGTCATGGTTTTCTGACGCCTTAAGAGTTCCCTTCACTGGAAATAAAGGGGCCAAGCCCAAGCCTTGAAAAACAGCTCCACGCCATAATCCCCCCTCGACCAAACTTTACACCTGGCACAATGCAGTCGGGCAAGTACCATTCTCCTGGCAGCCAAACCCAGACACGTCCATTGGATTGCCAGAGAAGCATGATTCGTCACACCAGAGAACATGTCTCCACTGCTCTAGAGTCCAGTGGCAGCATGCTTTATACCACTGCATCCGACGCTTTGCATTGCACTTAGTGATGTAGGGCTTGGATGCAGCTGCTCGGCCTGAAACTCTCCATGAAGCTCTCTACTCACTGTTGTACTAATCTGAAGGCTACATGAAGTTTGGAGGTCTTTAGCTATTGACTCTGCAGACAGTAAGTGACTTCTGCGCACTGTGTGCTTCAGCATGCGCTGAACCCATTCTGTCATTTTACATGGCATACCACTTTGTGGCTGAGTTGCTGTTGTTCCCAGTTGCTTCCACTTTGTTATAATACCACTAACAGTTGATCGTGGCATATTTAGTAGCAAGGTAATATCAAGGATGGACTTATTGCACAGGTCAATCATGGTACCACAACTGAATTCACTGAGCTCCTGAGAGCGACCCATTCTTTCACAAATGTCTGTAGAAGCAGTTTGCATGCCTAGGTGCTAAAAATTTATACATTTGTGGCTATGGAAGTGATTGGAACACCTGAATCCAATGATTTGGAGGGATGTCCCAATACTTTTGGCAATATCGTGTATTTATATCAGATGTGGATACCTAGGTCTAAAGTGGTTCTAAAGGCTCAACGTTTTTTACCTTCGTGCATTTTATGCATGAAGGTAAAAAAGATTTCTGTGTGTAGCAGATCCCCCAGCGCCCCCTAGCACTTACCTGAGCCCCTCTTGATCCAGCAAAATCCACGAGAGCTTTGGTTCTATGGTAACTGTCTCTTCTGATTTGTTGAGGCAGTGTGTAAATAGACATGCAGAGCCTTGGCTGGGGAGCACGCCTGCTCGGTGGCCCCCATTCTAAACTGTTAGATATGGGGGCACCCGACAGGAGGAAGGGACCAGGAGTGCCGGCGGGGGACCCAAGAAGAGGAGGATCCAGGCTGCTCTGTGCAAAACCACTGCACAGAGCAGGTAAGTATATGTTTGTTATTTTTAAGAGAAAAAGTCTTTAGTATCACTTTAATCTGATTAATTCCCAATATTAGTTTATATCTCTTTTCTGTAAATAATAGTTTATATCTATGTAGTTTAAAATCTAGGAAAAATTAAACTAATTAGAAATGTGTTAAAATAGTCATAAAGCAATTATTATTAAATGCATATACGGTGACACTCTGACAGATATGGAGACATAGGCATCTTATGCCTATGGGTGCTTATAAATGCAAGGTAATAACACTTGTGAATGATTGATGTGTTGTGTCAGTTTCAGTTTTAAAATGATTTTACAATCTACGTTCCATATTATGTTCCCATTTAAACACACTCTTTTCCTTTTACAGAACATGCTACTAAAATTAGTCTCATTGTAGCATGGTTCAGTGACTTTACATATACAGTCTGTTATAGTATAAAAAAATAGTTTTACCTTCACACAATGCATTACATATTTGGATTTATTCCGACATTCTGTGCAAAAATTAAATTTACCATATAAAATGCACAGTAACATACATCCATTTCCGCTTCTTTTTGGAGAGTAATGCTGCAGTCACAGAAAAGTGATTGTTGATCCTGCCAGAAATCCAGTGTGGACCTATGTCCTTGTGCTTTCTGCCCATGTTGACTGTTAACAGTGAGCATTTTTCCTAGTTTTTGCTATGGACTACATAAAGCCTTGCCCCATGTCATTTAGATGATCAGAGAAGGAGGAAAGCTGCAGTCTTAATACAATTCTGGGCCTAAGGTGACAAAACTGCTTCTTAAAAAAGTCCAGTGAGTGAGCATTTTCATCCTAGGGCAAGAAGTGTGTTGTTGATGATCACCACTTAAAATTAAAAAAAGTGTACAAAAATGTCAGTCACTACACCTAAGACTGGTAAGCTGTAATATATTACATTTTTGTTCTTAGGTTTAGATACGCATTAAACATTGTGATCAGTATATAGTAGTCATCTGTTCTCTCCACGAAAGTCATTCCAGAAGGAACTGTGGACAAGCTTGTTAGTGGAATTAATGAGCGGAACTGGTCAGAAATGCTTTTAATTGCTAAGCAAAGATATAATTATGACCTTTAGCTCTCCATCATGGATCTGCAATTCCAAATGAGATCAGAGCAGATGCCCTAAAAGGTTTAACAACAATTAAGAAAAAAACTATTTGAGAACATATGTGGAACTAAGTAAAGATTTGTCATGGACTTTATTATGATATGCACTAAACATTTTATAGCATTAAAGTTGACTATTTAGCGTACATCCACCTAGAAGGATCAGCTGTACAGACATACAGTGTTCACATCAGCCGTCCCATAAAATGGTCACATAGGAGTCATTACAGATATTAATGAACTCTATGACATGTTTATTTTTGGCAGCTCAGGAGCTGGTCATCTAACATAATGTAAGTGAGTGTACTATTCTTTCATCTAACTCACAGAGGAGGTGTCTGGTTATTGATTCATTAAATTGGTTGTAAAGCCATACAGTGGAGTGACTGGCCTCAGGTGACACACAGAGATGAAACAAATTCCCCTACGTAAGTAGTAAATGTCGATCTGCAGTCTTCTCTTCTCTACATCCATTCAAAGTGCTGAATTTTAACGCTTGTCTGGATGTTCATTAAAAAGGGGCCGGAGAGTAGAAGTTACACTCTGCAGAGCTCAGTGAGGAGAGTCCTGAGAGCTGATTGGATAAAAGAGACGCCCCCATCCTTACAGCTCACGGGAACTTTCAGAAAAACCTGTCAGAAGTGACTCATGGTAATAGCAGAGGAATGAGGCAGCAGACATAAATGACACTTAGTACTCTGGAATGAGACACACTTTAGGGATATGCTTTGCTCACACTATATTGCCAAAAGTATTGGGACGCCTGCCGTTACATGCACATGAACTTTAATGGCATCCCAGTCTTAGTCCATAGGGTTCAATATTGAGTTGGCCCACTCTTTGCAGCTATAACAGCTTCAACTCTTCTGGGAAGGCTGTCCACAAGATTTAGGAGAGTGCCTATGGGAATTTTTGACCATTCTTTCAGAAGCGCATTTGTCTCCCCTCTTATTCATCCCAAAGGTGTTCTATTAGGTTGAGGTGCAAGCCAGTCAAGTTCCTCCACACCAAACTTGCTCATCTAAAACTTCATGGACCTTGCTCTATGCACTGGTGCACAATCATATTGGAACAGGAAGGAAGGGGCCATCCCCAAACTGTTCCCACAAAGTTGGGAGCATGAAATTGTCCAAAATGTCTTGGTATGCTGATGCCTTAAGACTTCCCTTCACTGGAACTAAGAGGTCAAGTCCAACCCCTGAAAAACAACCCATCATAATCCTCCCTCCACCAAGCTTTACACTTGGCACAAAACAGTCAAGCTAGTACTGTTCTCTTGGCAACCATCAAACCCAGACATGTCCATCGGATTGCTAGACAGAGAAGTGTGATTTGCCACTCCAAATAACAAGTCTCCACTGCTCTAGAGTCCAGTGGTGATGTGATTTACGCCAGTGCAGCTGACACTTTGCATTGCACTTGTTGATGTAAGGCTTGAATGTAGCTTCTTGACCATGGAAACACATTTCATGAAGCTCTCTATGCACTGTTGTTGTGTTAATTTGAAGGCCACACAATGTTTAGAGGTCTTTAGCGATTGATTCTGCAGACAGTTGGTGACTTCTGCACACTGCGCGCTGACCCCACTCTGTCATTGTATGTGGTATACCACTTTGTGGCTGAGTTGCTGTTATTCCCCATTGCTTCCACTTTGTTATAATACCACTAAAAGTTGACCGTGGAATATTTAGTAGCAAGGAAATTTCACGAATGGACTTATTGCACAGGTGGCAACCTATCACAGTACCATGCTTGAATTCACTGAGCTCCTGAGAGCGACCCATTCTTTCTACGTTTGTAGACGTAGTCTGTATGCCTAGGTGCTTGATTTTATACACCTGTGGCTGAGTTGCTGTTATTCCCCATTGCTTCCACTTTGTTATAATACCACTAAAAGTTGACCGTGGAATATTTAGTAGCAAGGAAATTTCACGAATGGACTTATTGCACAGGTGGCAACCTATCACAGTACCATGCTTGAATTCACTGAGCTCCTGAGAGCGACCCATTCTTTCTACGTTTGTAGACGTAGTCTGTATGCCTAGGTGCTTGATTTTATACACCTGTGGCCGTGGATAGAAACATCTGAATCCAATGATTTGGAGGGGGTGTCCCAATACTTTTGGCAATATAGTGTATATCATGTCTACAACCACTTTAAAGCAGCCATTCTTAACCAGGGTTCTTTGGAACCCTGGGGTTCCTCCAGAAGTTGCTAGGGGTTCCCCAAGCAGTTAGCAGTGACAGATTAATCTCCCTCCTACAATGCCCACCAATGTTAGCAGGCAATTTCCCTATGTCATCCAATGTAAGGGGTACACTAATCACAAATGTGAAGGGGCTTTTCTTTATTGACCAACAATGTGAGGGGGCTTCTTTCTATTGACCACCAATGTAAGTGGACACTACAGTTTTTACAGTTTGTGTTCTTCTCTAGTCATTATTATTTGTTTCAATCGATTAATATTGCTACATAGAGCATGGAAGTGTTGTAAAATAATCTAAGTACCTTAATCATGCTATTTTCTTTATATGTCTGTGTAGAGCTTACCCATCACGCTAATATACTGTTACCTGTTGGGTGGGGATAATCAGGCACCTTGATAAATGCCTGTCACAGCTCCATCAGCTTCATTAAGCCCTGCCACACTGAAGATTACAGTAGCAAGGGTAGGGGTGGGTGTAAAATCAGAGAAGGAAGATCTCTACTAAAGGAGAAGACAGCAGCAGAAGGGACACATGGCACTAAGCTTAAGTAATGTTTCTTGTGCTGATTTTTTTACTTTTTTTAAATTAAGTTAGGCTTTAAAGAAATCCTATTAACTTTAAAAATTGCAGACAAAAGCACAAAAATCAAGTATTTTAAATGCTTATTCGCAGTGTTTTTCTTTCTTAGCAATTTTTATTCACTTGCCATTGCCTTGCTGGAAAATTGGACTTCTCCAGGAGAGTTGGCTCTGTTGTTAAGCACCTACACTACTTGAAAATCATAGCCCTCTTAGGGCTTTTAGATGTCTATACAATGTTTTACAGGTAAATTATAAGCCTAAACTATGTTAAATGAGCATATAATCTTATGGGACAATTCTCATTTAAATGAATGGTAAGTGAATTTATCCTTTAAAGTGGTATTAAACTGCCACAAAAATAACAAAAAAAATGGGCCCCCAGCAGGGTTAAGTTATAATGTACTACTGTAGTTTGCACCACATACTACAACATTATGACAAACTACCTTGCACATGGAGCCCATCAGCAAAGTGCTGTCATGGCTCTTTCATCTTCACCAGTTCTTCCTTCTGGGTTCGTGGGCTCCGGATGCATGAATGGCCAAGACCGTGATGATGTTGCTTCCACGTACATGTGCACGGGAGCCCCAGCACAGAGCTCTGAAGGTAAAGCACTGGTGATGTCACCTGCTGCCAACTAAGTGAATATCTCCTAAATGGTGCAAGGTTAGGAGATATTCACTGTACCTAGAGGTAAGCCGTATTATAGGCTTGCCTGTAGGTACAAGTAAAAAGTGGACTTTACTTCCATTTTAAGTGAATTTAATGCTTTGCCACACATGGGAAACAAAGTTCAATTTAAGGTACCCAGAGATCTAAAAGGATGGTTGGAAAATCCAGTTAGTGCATAACTGTGTTGTTAAAATGATCACGGCATAAATATTTAATTATTGCACCTTTACAGAGTATGCATAACTACAACATTTGCAACCATCTTTTAGTGACAAAATGAACAGTTGGGAATATAGGTTCTTTTTAATCCAGTGGAGTCCTAGAGCTGTAAATTGCTGAACAGACCTCCACTGTGAGGTTGGTTAAAGCGGAGTTCCATCCTAAATGGGGAAGTTTCGCTTTAACGCTTTGTCCCCCGCTCCCCATTAAGGATTGGCACCTTTGTGGAGCGGGGGGCGGGGAAGTGGGTACCCGAATTTGACAGGTACCCGCTGCAATCTCCTAGGCGATCGGAAGCGGAAGTTGTCCTCCCTCCCCCCCGTAGTCTTCTGGGACACGTGACAGGTCCCAGAAGACTACAGGGCCATTCACAAAGCGCAGCGCTTCTCACGCATGCACTGAGGGCACCTGGCTGTGAAGCTGCAAGCTGTCACAGCTGGATGCCCACACTAAAGATGCCGGTGCAAGAGAGAGAAGATGACTGTGAAACCAGTGGTGGTGAGGACACTGCTGGACCGAGGGACAGGTAAGTGGCTGTATTTTAAAAGTCAGCAGCTGCAGTTTTTGTAGCTGCTGACTTTTTTTTATTTATTTATTTATTTTCAGCTGGAACTCCACTTTAAGAGACGGTTCACATGTTCTGTGCATGTTTCGCACACCGCATTTACATGGTACATGCACCAGATTGCATGTACCGTAGTACCATGCGATTCAGCGCAGTGCATTTTTCAAAAGTAGTTTATGCACTACTTTTTGTGTGGTCTGGTGTGATTTCAGTCCATCTGAATGAATGGGATGAAAATCGCACTGCACAGAAAAAACGCACATCAATCATTCAATTCTGGTTTGAACCAGCCCTAAAAGGGTAAAATGTGGCCTAAAAGGGTAAAATGTGGAGATTGCCCTCATGGATGCTGACAAATTGTAATGCTTGCCATACTCTAGTTTTAACATAAGATCATATAGTACCTATGTAGTACTTATGTGCTTATGATTACCAGGCTTCTTGATCCTGATCCTGAATTTCGCAGAGGATTTTAAAATATAAGTAAGAAAATATAGTAAGAAGATTGTTTCTCTGTGGGAAAGGGAACAACTCAATGCTTAAAGTCTATGTAAAACCGTATATTGAATTTCTCTTACTGTATTTGCTACTTTTTAGGCCTGTCAAATATTATGTTAAATGCGTTTTGTTATATCTGTTAGATAAGTGCAAAACATACCTGATAATCTGCCAGAAATTTTTGAACTAATAATTACATATACAAAACATCACCCGACTATGCTATGAGAGGGGGGGGGGGGGGTGTTTTGTCGTTCTGCTATAAGGTGACAAAGCTGCTCCTCTATAATTATAGTACTTTGGGTGTTGTCCCCTTGGACAGGAAGTGCATTAGTGGTAGGATCACCAGGTGAACATAAAGAAGAAGGACTGAAAAAAAAGACACTAAAGCACCCACCACATCTAACGATAGGTAAGTTGCAATTAATTAAATTTTTTGAGGGGTTTAGAAACGCATTAAGATCTGTGAACAATACTACAGTAGGACTTTTGCATATGGTAGTTGAAATCTTAAAGCTGTAAAAACACTATACTACACTGTTCTTGCCACCAATACTGAGTTCTTTTGTATTGCTAGGGCATGTTTCAAACCAAAATGATATACATTATCAATTCACTCTGGCCTGGTAACATAACGGAGGTACAAATGATGTCACCGACCCCTATTACATTTACAATTAATGTTTAGATCTCAAAACAGCTGCCTTAGTAGTAATTGCTTTCATGTTTCAGCAGGATATACAGTCATATTTTATTAGGTTAATGTTCCTTTCATTTCACAAGTCCACCATTTAGACCTCAGACATAGATGAGATTCAACATGGGCCAATAGTTGTCTTTATCAGGTAGAGGAAAATATTTTAATATAAAGGATAAGACATTAACCATCCCATAATGGTCTAACTAGCTTTGTTTAATAATTAAAAAAAAGGTTTTTGTATCTTATTAATGTTTAAGCTCAGGAATTTAGACAGAGGAACAACTTGTTAGATATAAAATCACATTAGTCATTAGAAAATCATTTTATTGTTAACCTTAACATCAACATTTGATTGATAACAGCTAATTGTTCTGTCTTGTTAAGGACTAACACAAGTATATTGATTGTACCAAATTCAACAGATTTTGGTGATGTATCCAGATTAAGGTGTCTAGAGTGTAAGGTTAACACCATTATCCAGTTTAAAAAAAACACAAATACCTCTGCTCACACTGTATGTGCTCACACCAGCACACAGATGTGGCTCTCTATTGTAGCACCATCCTAGATAGCTAGGGGGAGCTAGAGTTGATTCTTGAGAGGAGCTGAGTAGCAGCCAAGCTGTAATAGTCAGAGCGGGGTCAAATTGTGGGTAGAGCTGAGAGGCTCTGCAAATCAGCTTTCTGAGACGTCCCCCTGCACTAGAACTTTGGAGAAAGTTCTAGAAGCACTGGGTGGATGTAAGGAGTGGCTGGTCTGCAGTTTGAGGGATCCTGACAACTCCCCAACAGGAAGCTTGGATGGGGTTAGGACAGCCCTTAAAAGTGACAGAGCCTGCTCAGCAGGAGGAGGAGGAGAGGGGGAGTTTGGGTGGAAGATGGAGAAGAGAGAGGCTGGAGAGCAGGAGCTTGGGAGGGAGCCCAGATGAGAAGGGGCCCACCTACATGCAGAGGAGCTGGAGAGGACGAATGCTCAGGACCTCATCAGCCCCCAGAGCGAGGACCACCTATGCAGCGTTAAAGGAGCAGCCCAGAAGAAGGCCTGAGAGCAGGCACAGACCCAGCAGCACCATAGGAGAAGGACTGAGTAAGTAGACCTGCACCCCCTGGGCCAGTAAGGAAAGGAGCACTTCAGTGGGAAACTGGATTAGCTACTATCTGGGACTGTTTCACGACTTAAAGTGATTCTAAAGGCAAACCTTCTCTGTGCAGCATCACCCCCAGCCCCCACTAATACTCACCTAAGCCCCCTCTCGATCCAGTGATGTCCACTGGAGTCTCGGCTATCCTGGGACTCCCTCCTTTCATTAGTTGAGATAGAAGTGGGAGTCATTGGCTCCCACTGCTGTCAATCACAGCGAGTGAACCATTGAGAAAGAGAGAGGGGGTGGGGCCGAGCTGCAGGTCCGTGTTTGAATGGACACGCAGAGCAGCGGGTGCCCCTATAGAAAGCTGCTTGCTGTGTGGGCACCCGACAGTAGGGAGGGGCCAAGAGAGCCTGCGGGGGACCTGAGAAGAGGAGGATACAGACTGCTCTGTGCACACAGCAGGTAAGTAGAGACATGTTTGTTTTTTTTTTTTCTTAAATCATGCCTTTAGAATTGCTTTAAAGTGACAGATACTGGATCCCCTGCCCAGGGATTCACCCAGAACA